ATAGTGTGGTTGCTGACCTTGAGCCAGACATCCTGGAGAGCGAAGTCAAGTGGGCCTTAGAAAGCCTGGCTAACAACAAAGCCAGTGGAGGTGATGGCATTCCAGTTGAACTATTTAAATCTTAAAAGATGACACTGTTAAGGTGCTACATTCGATATGCCAGCAAGTTTGGAAAACTCAACAGTGGCCAGAGGACTGGAAAAGATCAGTTTACATCCCAGTCCCTAAGAAGGGTAGTGCCAAAGAATGCTCCAACTACCGTACAATTGCACTCATTTCACACGCTAGTAAGGTTATGCTCAAAATCCACCAAGGTAGGCTTCAGCAGTATGTGGAGTGAGAACTCACAGAAGTACAAGCTGGATTTTGAAGGGGCAGAGGAACTAGAGAGCAAATTGCTAACATGTGCTGGATTATGGAGAAAGCCAGAGAGTTCCAGAAAAACATCTACTTCTGCTTCATTGACTATGCAAAAGCCTTTGACTGTGTGGACCACAACAAACTATGGCAAGTTCTTAAAGAAATGGGAGTGCCTCACCACCTTATCTATCTCCTGAGAAACCTATATGTGGGACAGGAAGCAACAGTTAGAACTGGATATAGAACAACTGTTTGGTTCGAAATTGGGAAAGGAGTACGACAAGGCTGTATATTGTCTCCCTGCTTATTTAACTTATATGCAGAATGCATCATGCGAAAGGCCGGACTGGATGAATCCCAAATCGGAATTAAGATTGCCGGAAGAAATATAACAACCTCAGATATGCAGACAATACCACCCTGATGGCAGAAAGTGAGGAGGAATTAAAGATCCTCTTAATAAGGGTGAAAGAAGAGAGTGCAAAAAATAGTCTGAAGCTCAACATCAAAAAAAGAAGATCATGGCCACTGGTCCCATCACCTCCTGTCAAATAGAGGGGAAGATATGGAGGAAGTGACAGATTTTGCTTTCTTGGGCTCCATGATCACTGCAGATGGCAATAGCAGCCATGAAATTAAAAAACATCCACTTCTTGGGAGGAAAGCGATGAGAAACCTAGACAGCATCTTAAAAAGCTGAGATATCACCTTGCTGACAAAGGTCCGCATAGTCAAAGCTATGGTTTTTCCTGTAGTGATGTATGGAAGTGAGAGCTGGAGCATAAGGAAGGCTGACCGCTGAAGAATTGATGCTTTTGAGCTGTGGTGCTGGAGGAGACTCTGGACTGTAAAGAGAACAGACCTATCCATTTTGAAAGAAATCAATCCTGATTGCTCACTGGAAGGACAGATCCTGAAGCTGAGGCTCCAGTACTTTGGCCGTCTCATGAGAAGAGGAGACTTCCTGGAAAAGACCCTGATGTTGGGAAAGTGTGAAGGCAAGAGGAGAAGGGGACGACAGAGGAAGAGATAGTTGAACAGTGTCATCAAAGCTACCATCATAAATTTGACCCAGTTCTGGGAGGAAGACAGGAGGGCCTGGAGTGCTCTGGTCCATGGTGTCATGAAGAGTTGGACATGACTAAACGACTACACAACAACAACAACAATCTACATCAGATGCAGTTGGATTTATTAGTGGTGAAAATGCCATAAAAGTCATTGTATTAAATCCAACTGTTAATCCCAACTAGAACAGACCTATTACATGAAATTCAGTGGTAAGTTACAACTTGAGTAGACCCACTGAATCACTGAGGAATTGATGAGACTCAACATCTATATGAATTCTGTTATTCTAGCTGCACCTTTCTGCAGTTTTTCAGCCATCAAATCAACTGCTGATTAATAAGATCATATGTGTGTGTAAATCTCACTGATTCAATGATTTTACTCTAGTAGGGACCAGCACCGCATTTAGGCCATGTTGCTTTTCAGCAACAGAAGGCTTACAAAAAAATTTCACTTGTAATTAACACACCTTCCCATATCTGAAATATTCATAGGAAACAAGCTTGAAAATAGAGTTGTAATCCATAAGCATACACATGTAGAAGTACTAAAATGATATTACAAAATTTTGCAAAACGGTGAAGTTCAGCACACTTGCATCTTGACTTATAATTTAAATACATTTATTCCTAGCTGAGAAAAAATATTACATGAATTGCTAAGGAGTTAATTATTATGCTGTTATTTTCTCAGTTACCTAATAAAACATAGAAACACAAATAGTATGAGACAGTTTTATCCTTTTATTTTACCTGGAGAATGCCGACCAAAAAGGTGACAGTGCTGGAAATCAACACTCTCTGTGCATCTCTAGCTTCAGTGTCTATCAAAGTTTTGTTGAGTCCTGTCGCATTACTGCTAACCAGGTGGAAATTTTCATCCGGTGCCATGCTCAGTACTACTGAGCCCACCATTAAGCTGACCACAGGAAAAGGCCCTGTTAAAAAGAATTGCACATGAATTTAAAATGTACACACGATTTCTTAATAATGGGATTAAGATGGGGGTACATGGAACAGGGCTGTTGGAAGTGGAGTTCCCCATTTTCTGCACCTATGAAAGGCCCCCAGTCCTCCAAAGATACCACACAGGGAGTCAGGAGACCCTATGAACTGGATAGGTTGTGAAAGTAATGGGGTGAGTGGGAGGAGGAAAGATCTCAAAAACTCAGGCAGAGGCACTAGCACTGAGAGGAGCTCTGCTCAAGCAAGTTGTCTGACCCAGTTTGGGGAAGGGTCCTCCCTTCTTGCAACACTAGCCTATCCTATTCACTAGGCCCCCTCTGTGTAGCATTGGGGGGGGGGCTGGGAGGAGTTACTATGGGGAGAAGTGTGGCAAAAAGGCCTGTTTCTATCAGTCTTACTGTACAAACTTAGTCCAACCCAATGTACATTAACTGCCATTAATTAAAACAACTGAACAACAAAAACTTTGCAAAAACAATGCAATGCTAAATATCCAAGACAAGAATAAAAGTACTAGCACTTTAACAGCTGCAGATTGGCTTACTACAGAAGGCATTAGTTCTGGCTTGTTTTACCTAAAATAACCTAGTTATTAAGTTTTTTAGAACTTACCCAAACAGAGGGATTCAATACATTGTGTGTTTGTTGCTCTATAGGTACCTTACTGTGCACTGATAAAGCTTGTATTTTTCCTGCTGCACAGATAATGAAAGACTTAAATTGTCACCAGCAGTGACAAAGAGTGACAAAAAGCTTGGTTTTCAATGCTTTTAAAAAACTTGTTGTGTAGGTTGTTTGTTTTGAACAAAAGCAAACAAACAACAAGATTCATCAGAGAATATCATTTTGAAAGGGTTCCCTCAATATTTTTAAGAGCTGATTTTTAAAAGGACAGATTACTGAAATGAATTAGCAATAGCAGCAAGCATAGGATCCTTTTGAAAATGTAGCTCGAGCTGAACCCTAACTCCAGTATCCTTGTCATCATCAGCATCGCTTCATACACATCCAATCTAATTTGTTTCCTTAGCTTGCCTGTATCTCATGTTTACTGGGAGCCATGGAGCGCACAGGGAGAGGATTTAACATAAATGTTGATTTTACATAAGTGGGGGTCAGATAGCTGCACAGTTTTCAAAGCAGTCCTGCTGCTTTTCTTCCCATTTCTCCTTTTCAAATTTAACCATTGCTCCTCAAAAGACTTCAGCCAAGTGGTGAAGAAAAGGAAAGAAAAGGAGAGGCAAAAGAGGAGGAAGATAGGCTTAATTCAGAAGTTTTGGGTTTAGCTCTAATCCAGCCAATAAACAAATAAGCACACAAATGATCAAACAAACATGAATTCAGAAAAGAAGATATTTTTCCAAATATTTTTTTAAAAATAATTGTTGATTTCTTTAGGAAACAAGAACTGGGTTTTAAGAATGAGTGTGGACAAAACCCCTTGGTAACACCCATATTTATTGGGTACCAAACAGCGTAAAGAGAAAAGGTCCATCTGGATAAACCTTTAGTCTAAAATAATGCAGGAAGTATACACAATCAACAGAGTATACACTCTGATGCTTAGACTGTATTTTCTGCATTATTTTCTCAGCTGCCTCTAAATTTTCAATAATCTGTTGCAGTTATTATTCTAAGATAGGTGTTCCTGCCTATTACTCTGTTGTCCATATAAACCTAACAGACTAACACTTGGTAATGGGCCAGATATCATATTAAAAGCTTCTGCCATTAAGCTCATTTCTAACCCTAGCAAAAGAAAAGACCTAGCATATATAGTATAGTGTATGGATTCCAGTAACTACCTGTAGAAAAATAAAGCACAAAGTTGCATAGAACAGGATATAATCACAACTAGAGTATGTCAGTGTAAAAGCTTGCTATAGCAATTTGGATTCCCTTAGATGATTGCCCCCAACACAAATTACAATTCTGAAATAAATGGTTGACTGATATTATCTAAACGAAAAGCATGCAATTACCAACTGAGATGTGTTTTGATGTTCCCAAGAAGAAGTATGTCACGATGGGGAAAAAAGCAGAATAGAGGCCATATCCAATTGGAACGCCAACCAGCAAAGCATACGCCAAGCCTAAAGTAGTATAAATTCACTGTATTTATTAATATCATTATGACCTCTTAAATATACAATTAATAATTTCAAGGGAATTTTCCTTTCTACTCAGGCATATTCTATATTTGTATTTCACTTATGCAGTTCTGCTGTGTGCAAAAATGTAAAGTCTTCATATTACATAGCACATATTTCAGCCTGACCTTAGGATGCAAACAGAATCGAGTCCCAATTGGAAAGTGTTTAGGATTGTAAATGAATATGAAAATGAATTAGCCAGGTAAGTCTCAACAACATTTTCTGGCTACAGAAAAGGCTGATTCTAATCCTCAGACCATCTCATGTTTTTGAAGTGTGTTGATGAAAAATATTGCACTGTTTACACAAAGGCAGTAACCCGTAACAGAGTGACTCCAGCAGTATCCTGATTATTTCTTTTGTAAGAATAGATTGGTAAGGAGATGCCTGATTCGCTCTTACCTTGTAAAGTAGCCACAAGTCCAGTACTGACTCCAGAAATGGCATCACTGATGAGCCATTCCTTAACTCTGTATTTAGGCAACCATTCCAGAATAGGGAAAAGGGTCTTAGCTATCTGTAAGACTTTTCTTCTTGAGCAGCTGCCAAGGACAAAATGTTAAACAGCTAGAGTTAAAACTATGAAATGCTTCTATCCCCCTGCTGTGGCCCACCCCCCGGCTTGACTGAGGGTTCTTTGAATCCCTGGACAAGGGATCTTTGAAAACAAAAAAACTGGTGATGTATGGCAGTCAGTGAATCACCTGCAAGTTTTCTGGAGTCGTTGCTGGAGGGTTTTGGGCACCACCAGTTTCCTTTCATGCTCTTCTTCAAAAGTTGGCTCATTATAGATTGGCCGGGACACCACATAGCGACTGAGTTCTGGGAGAGCTCCATCAACCCCACCACCTGCTGCCATGCCTTACCCTGCCTACAAATGGGGGGAAAAAACAATGAAGAAGACCAACACTTGGAAAGTACATGCTCTCCTCAAGAAGCCAGTCATCAAGTACAGTATGCTCTCTGAACTGAGCCTACACCTGCTGAATCCAGGTGAATTCAGCTTGGGGCAAGAGTGCCCTGTGCCAGGTTCGTCCCACAGTGTGGGTTGCTTGGGACAGCCCGCTCAGCAACTCTCTCTCTCTTAGGAAACCTCTGGCTTGCTTCTTGATCCAAATCAAGAAATTCCACTGTTAAACCATCTGTTTCCCTTCTGCTCGCCTGCTAGCCACCCAGCTAACTTTCAGCCCCAAGAACTCAGTGTAATCCCAAAGATCTCACATTTGACCTTTAGCAGGCACATGCCAGAAGCCGAACAGGGACTAAGAAAATTTTCCAGCAAGGAGGTGGAATAAGCCACGGCTGATATGCTGTCCCTCACATACTGTGAAAACCCCATTTAAGAAACAGGAGGGAAAGCGCCAATTCTATTCTGCCCGGTCTGGGTATGTCTTGTTCGACTCTTCAGTCCTACGAAGGCGGGAGCCTAGGTGTCAGGCGGAGTCCGCCCGCCCGCTGGCCCACCGGCTCCGGCTTCTTCCCCGACCAAACTCCTCATTCGGGATCCGTTTTGGTCACTTCAGGTCAGCCCCGACCTTGCCGCCTGCTTCCCCCTCCGCTCACTGCCCGTCCCGCGCCAAAACGGGCGCTTCCCACCCAAAGACAGCGCTGTCCGGGTCCTGAAGCGCGCTCCGCTGCTCTCGCCTCGGAAAGAGTTTGGGAGTCGCCGCCGCCGCCGCGCTTTCTCGCTGGTGCGCCTTTGGCGCCTCAGCGGCTCGTGTGAGGAAAGCGAGCTTCCCTCTCCCGGACAGCTGTACCTGCGAACGGCCCCAGGTCCCCAGCCTTGGTCAAGGCGAGTGACCCCCCAGCCCAGCATTTATACGGCCATCCCAGCCTTGCCAATTTCTCTTTTATTTACAGGCAAACAGAGGCATCCGGTCGGGCTGCATGTGACGAGTCTGCCTTGCTCGCCCTCTCCTCCCTCCCCGCTCACACGCAGCAGCCCTGCCTCAGCTCCTTGGTTGCCCTTCTGGGCGCACCTTGTTTTGAAGGAAGGGACGAAGGACAGGAGGATGGGGGACACCTGGCTGGAAAAATCTGGAATTCCCCAAAGATGCCCCCCTCTTCCTCGGTAAGGAAATAGCCCTTTCGTCCGGACTCCCCAAACAAGTTTGTTGCGGAGCTGAATGAGCGCCCTCCACAACGAACGAAGGTTACGCGCCCTGACAGCACCTCCCCCAATAAGTTTGTTGGTTGTACCACCTGGTACACCTCTGGGACAGGGTCGCAAGAACTTCTGAGACTGAGAAGAATGGTCTCAAATCAGATCTTTTTATTTAGAAAGACTTTCAAAACCTGCTGGAGCAATCCTTCCACCACCCCCAACTTCACAATACAGTATACCCGGATAGGGTCTATTGACCAAAAAAAGAGCTTTTGGGGGTTGTGATGAACAGCTCCACGAAAAGATGGACTGGGTGCTTGCGCATGTGCTTTGAAAAGGAAAATATGTGTATGGGGGAGGCCAAGCCCATGCTGAGCATAGTTAGGAAAAGGACAGAGCATAAATGATCAATATCATCATATCCTTATATAAAATCATTCTGCGAACATGTTTGGAATACTGTGTACCATTCCGGACACCACACCTAAGAAAGGATATTGTGTGCTTGGGGGAAAAATGCAGAAAAGAGCAACAAAAATGGAGCAACTGGGCTAACAGTTTAAAACAACATTTAGGGCTGTTTAGCTTAGAAAAAAGGGACATGTTGGTGCTGTGGGTTAAACTGCAGAAGCCTCTGTGCTGCAAGCTCAGAAGACCAGCAGTCGTAAGATCGAATCCACGGGACGGAGTGAGCTCCCGTCGCTTGTCCCAGTTCCTGCCAACCTAGCAGTTTGAAAGCATGTAAATGCAAGTAGATAAATAGGTACCACCATGGTGGGAAGATAATGGCATTCCGTGTCTAGTCGCACTGGCCATGTGACCACGGAAACTGTCTTTGGACAAACGCTGGCTCTACGGCTTGGAAATGGGGATGAGTACCACACCTTAGAGTCGGGCATGACTGGACTAAATGTCAAGAGGAACTTTTACCTTTACCTAGCTTAGAAAAAAGGCAAGCAAAGGGACACATGATAGAAGTGTATTAAACTATGGATAGTGTAAAGAAAGAAGATAAAGAAAAGCTTTTTCCCCTCCATAATACTAGAACTCAGAGAGATAAAGTAAAGATGAGTGGCAGGAGATCCAGGATGCATAAAAGAAAATGCTTCTTTAACACAGCAGATAGTTACTGTGTGGAATTCACTGCTGAGAGATATACTAAATGTACCCATGTGGCTAAGCTTAAAAGGCAGCTGGATAAATTGATGGAGCATAAGACTACCAATGCACAGTAACTCAGGACAGCTATACATATTGTCCCTTGATTTCCACTGGTCTGAGCTGCATGGTTTTGATTATAGTACAGTAACTCAGGACAGCTATACATTTTGTCCCTTGACTTGCACTGGTCTGAGCTGCACGGTTTTGATTATACACATTTTTAAATAAATAAATAAATAGAAGTGTATATCACCTTCAGCATCAGGGGACCTATGCCTCTATCGCTGGAGAAAGTGTGTGAGAGGTACTCATATCTACCACAGGGTTTCCTTAGGCAACTGACTGACTACTTTGGGACACAGAATGTTGGACTAGATGGGCTTTTTTTCAGATTCAGCATGGCCCTTCTTATGTTCTTGATGTTGTCAGTGATCTTTAACATATGGTGCTACCATATTCTATGTGAAAGCTAAAACTGTCCAAGTCTAAATGGAAGAACTGGAAACACAGTGCAGAATTAATGTACATATATTCCAAGCAAGTTGCAGCATTAAGGCCTCAGATTGTGAGGAACCTCTAAGCACATTAAAAAAACCTGAAAAAATCAAGTTCTGGGATATTACCATTACACCTCTGGTGCTACACAACTTAGGGTCTCAACGTGCCTTAATATATCCCTAGTTAAAGCATCTGGGTTTTTTTGGGGGGGGGAATAGATACTGTGAGCACCACAGGAGTGGACCTGTGAGATATGCTTTTGTCAGAATACAAACATTTTAGGAATAACAGGAAAGATATGATGGGAATACTGTTGCTCTGTATGTCAAAGAGAATATAGTGTCAAAAATATTAGGAACCTTAAAGTGATTTACTTCTTCATAAAAGTGCTGTAGATGAAAATACCTGGCCTCCAAAATAATGTTATACTGAGGACATGTCATTGTTCACCTCTCCAAAATGTTCACAGTGATCTGGGTGGGTGGGGGGAATCTGAAAAGCATCCAAAGGAGATAGTGTTGTAATAATGAGTGACTTTAATGAGTGGCTTTCTATTGACTAGATACATCTGTGCTATGGCCATAACAAAGAAGTAAAGTGTGTGGATACTATAAGCCAGTGATTCCCAACCTTGGGTAACCGAGGTGTTTCTGAACTGCGGTTCCCAGAAGCCTTTTCCACTAGCTATGCTGGAAACTGTGGTTTCCAGAAGCCTTTTCCACTAGCTATGCTGGACAGGGTTTCTGGGAGTTGGCAGTCCAAGAACACTTGGGTTACCCCAAGTTTGGGAACCGCTGCTGTTAAGTGATTGTGCCCTAGAACAGCTGATCATAGAACCGGTGAGAATGCAGGTAAAAGCAGATTTAATCTTAAGAGGTTCTGCCCTGAAACAAGTGCAAACCATGTTTGTTGGCTGAATTGATTAGGAAAAGGGACTACAGTGCTATCAAATTTAATTTATACATAAGTAGAAAAGTAGCAGGGAACTCCAACACAGTTACTTCTGACTTTGAAAGGTGTCTCTAACATGCAGGAACTGTTTTGTTCTTGTTTTTCAGTCAAGGTCAAGCTTTTTCAAAATGACTGCAGCCCTTATTGACAAATTAATCATATCCAGATGTTATCTCTTGGAAGATTCCTAACAAAAATGTGAAATTATTGATCTTTTAACTAACGTGTAAAATGTCTCTAATATCATCACCTCTTTAGCAGAGGACTGAAGAGTGACCAATGTCTTTTTTTAAAAAAAACTTTAAAAATGGATCCAGGAATTACAAACAGATCACTTACATGCAACTGTAGTTCTTTAGTGGTTATCTGTGAAATCACACACATGGGTTTCTCTGTGCCTGCACAGGTGCAGGGAAGCCCATGCGTGTGATTTCACAGAGACCATGAAGAAGAACAAAATTACAGGTGAATTAGTCTAACATCTGTTACAGGTAAATTTGTGGAAAACATTATCCAGAATAAACTTGTCAACAACATAGAAGGGCAAGCCATGCTGAAAATGTATCAACATAGCTTCTACAAAAGCAGGTTCTAAACAACTTTTCAGTATTCCTTAAAGGTGTCAATTAACATGTGGACAAGAGAAATCTGGTAGATATTATTTCCTTGAATCTCCAAATGGCTTTTGGAAAATGGTCCTCATTTAAGGCCCCACAACTGAGTAAACCTAGCAGTCATGGTACTGAGGTGAAGCCCCCTTTTTGGAATGGCACATATTTGAAGAACATAAAATAGAAAGTAGGAATAAATCTCCAATTCTCACAATGGAGGATTGTGAAGTGGGGGTCTCTCAAGGATCTGTATTCACCCTACGGCTTTTACAGTTGTTCATAGTTAATCTGCAGTTAGGGGAAGAGTAATGAGGTGGCCATGTTTGCAGATCAAACAGGTTTATTTAGGGATGTTAGAAAAAAAGATAGAGATATTAGAACAAATATCCCAAGATATCTCTCCAAATTGGGAAAATAGGCTTTAAAATGACAAGGGAAGTTCAATATTAGCAGATGTAAAAGGATGCATATTGGGGCAAAATGACAGAGTCTGGACTGGCACTGAATGACCAAGAAAGATATCTTAGTGTTTTGGTAGTGTTTAACTACCAACTTACTGTTTAATACAATTAACATTTCAACCCTGCCTGCAGTTGCTGTAAAGATGGCAAATTCTATATCAGGCATAATGTGAATATATATATATATATATATATTCTTTCAATGAAACTCTCAATATCATACTGCTTTTATGCAAATCTAAGTGTGATCTACATGGAATATGCTATTCAGTTGTGATTCCTTCTCCTGGAGAAAAATGTTGCAGATCTGGAACAGGTACAGAAAGTATCAACCAAAATGTTTGAGGAACTAAGTCAGTATGAGGAAAGGTTGCAACTTTTAAAGCTGTTTTGTTTAGGAAAAGAAAAGAGCAAGGAAGTAGAGAGATGATCTTGCATGTTGTGGAAAAAGGAGCTTTATATAATTCCATGGAATGTGGTTAAATATCTTACCAATATCAAACATGAAGTTAAAATCCATTTGAGTTCTTACTACTCATAATGATCACTTTTCCAGAAATGTTTAATTTAGAACCTCCCCACTCACCCCCAAAGATGGAATGTTTGCATGTTTTTTGTTCTCTCTTTCTCTTCTCTTCCCTCTTCTCATAATTGTGCAGGTTAGCACTACATGGTGTTGGAGACTCTTCACGTTTTGATGTTGGTTCTGGATCAAGTCCAGCTATGTACATGTCCAAAACCACAATATACAGAAATAATTTTGCAAAGATCAAACTTAAAGATGGGAAATAGATGAAGTACAGAGTTTGGAAAAGTTAGGTTTTGAGACTCCAACTCCAAGAGTCTACCAGGCAGCAGTGGCCATACTGGCTGGGGAATTCAGGAAACTCTAGTACAAGACAGTAATTATGCCATGCATTGGATGTGTGTTACTCCCTATCTGTTGGTGTAGTGGGCAGATGACAGACTAGGACTCAGGAGACCTGGATTTGAATTCCCACTTGGCCATGGACACTTACAGGGAGGCAGTGGCAAAA